TGGGCACCCACACACGGGACCGGGGACCTCCCGGCACCACGGACACCCACCCACCCGCAATGAGCACCGTGGGGTCTGCCAAGCCCCCCCAGCCACGCCGTGAGCCATTTAATCAACGCGCGTGCGGCTCCTTCTAAGACCCCCGGATTTAGCCATGAAACCTTTCCCTTAATCCCCTCCATCTCCTCTCATTTACCGTCGTTATTAGTATCCATCTGTCGGAAGATTTTTTCCGTTCGTTTCTCCGGAGTCGATTCATCTTCGGGCATGTTCATCACCGAGGAGACCATTTTGTAGATGGCCTGGGAGAGGAGATTTGGGTGAGGGTGAGCGCGAGGTGAGCACCAGCAGGAAGAGCCCCCGGGATGGGGTGACAAAGGGATGACAGGGCAGGACCAGGGGTTGCCCTGGGGTAGACTGATCCCCACAGATGACAACGGGCTCTGTCCCAGCAGCCTTGTGTTGGTATCAACATGGGGTGCGTGTCCCAAACCCACAAAGGGATGGCCACCATCACACCAGGGTGACACAGAGGACCACAATGAGATGAGGGAGCGCGGTACCTGCACGATCTCCAGCATCTCCTCGCGGCTGATGTAGCCGTTGCCATCCAGGTCGTACATGCTGAAGGCCCACATCAGCTTCTGCTCCAGCTTCCCGCGGGAGGTGACGCTCAGCGCGATGATGAACTCTCGGAAGTCGATGGTGCCGTCGCCGTTGGTGTCGAAGGTGCGGAAGACGTGCTCGGCGAACTTGGAGGCGTCGCCGTAGGGGAAGAAGTTGGCGTAGATCTTTTTGAACTCCTCCACGTTGAGGATGCCGGATGGACAGTCCTTCAGGAAGCCCTTGTACCAACCCTGCAGCTCCAGGTCGGAGAACTCGGTGTTTTCCCGCAGATCCTGGAGCATCTCCGGGCGCAGTTTGCTGTTCTGCTTCCCCATGGCGCTGGGACGCGCCGGCCGTCCCGGCGGGGACAAGGGCTGCAGCGGGGCAGGAGCCTGGTGTGGTTTGGGGGGGATCCCTCTGGGCTACAGGAGGGGAGAGGGATGGGGCAGCGCTCCTTGGCAGCCCCCGCACACCCAGGCGGACACCGATGCGGTCGCCTCCATCCCCGCGTCCTCTCTGAGCCGTCGGGGCCAGCCCCCGGGGCCACCCAGCGCCACGCAGCGCCAGCCCCCTCGCGTTTGCGTAATAAGCCCTTATAGCTCATTTGCATAATATATGGGGGATATATAGGGGGGGGAGCAGCCGGGTGGAGGGGAAGGGGCTGTGGGCTGAGGCTCTGGGTCCAGCCCAGCTTTGGGACTGGCTGGATCTGGGTCAGGTCCCTCGGGGGGGGGGTTATTTTCAGCTCCTTGCCATCTCTGTTAATATTTGATGCCTCCGGCTGGCACTGGAGCCCCGGGGAGGGCTGGGGGGGTGTAAGTCTCTCCCTATGGCCCTCTCCTCACTTCAGGGTGCCCTGGGGGGACCCAGTGCACCCCATCCCACCAGGGTCACCTCCGAGGGGTGCAGAAGGGCCAGGATGGGGTCAGGGGCATATCCGGCATTTGGCCACACAGCGCAAGTCCCCACACTGGGGACTCTGGGGGGGCCTTGGCCCACTGCCCTTACCCCAGGCTGAGTTGTGACCCCTGTGTGGGGAGAAGATGGGCTCAGGGGGCTTCATGGGTGCCTGATCAGTGGGCTTCAGTGCCTGGAGCACCCCCCAAGGTAGGGAGGGATCCTAGTACCCCAAAACCCCCTGTCCTTTGGGCTCGCAGGGCAAACAGGACCCCCCAACAGGGCTGGACCTCCCCAGTTACAGGGGGCTGGGATCCCCCAGTGTCTCTCCATCACCCCCACCACAGCTCCATCCCCACTCCAGCCGCCCCCCCCCCCCCCCCGCAGCCAGGGGAGGATCAGCGTGTGTCCCCCCAACTCAGGGATCCCCAGCCAGGCCCCCCAGGGCTGAACGACCCCCAACCCCTCTGCCGGGGGGGCTGTGCCCCCTCCCCATCACCCAGGGCTGCTCCCGCTGCTGGGAGGGGAGCCCAGGGGGAGCTCAGCGCCCCAAGAGGGGTCTA